ATCCTGGCTGCAGATAAAGGGTAATTACACTATATACAAGTACCTCAGGAGCTTGCTCAGACTTTCTGCTGCTTCTGCAAATGTTTCTTTTTCTCTTCTTTGCAAAGTTAATTTTGTTTTGAACTCTTTGTTCTAGACATTCCTCTCCTCAACTTTTCTTTCCAGATTTTGTTTCCTCTCCTGTTTGCCATGTATCCCTTCTTTCGTGTCGGGAACTTCCCCTACCCTTCTCCATTTTGGTAAGAGCACATTCTATCACGGCAGTCTGCAGTGTCAATAGATGATATAGACAGAAATGTAGTACAATCATTAGAAGTTACAGAATAGAGGCTTTTAGTCCGAAGTCACTTTCCAGATTATACAATCCACTCTGTTTTAGTTATATACTCCAGGAAATGTCTGAACATGGCCAACATGCATATAGATTTACTGTTTTACCAGTTAAAAGATTTGTTCCTTTTGTCAGTCATTCTTGCGATACATGCACACCTCTGCTAGTCAGATCAGTCTTTCTACTTTCTGGTTTATCATTGCTGGACAGAGGTAATGATGCCATTTCACTGTCTAGTGAGGAGAGTGAAGGTGAAGAAAAACTGAACCTGGAAGGCAAATCGAATGATCAGGAACTACTCATGTGGCTGTGCAGTCAGGAAGATGTCTAAATGACATTACCTGCACACCATCACATATCTTTTGGCAGATAAAACCATAAACATACATGTATTTCAGCTGTATGAGTGGCGCTTTCCTAGAATAATATTCGCCTGAAAAGGCAAGGTCTGTTTATGCTTCTGCCGCTGCCCCCACCGCCCAAATATAGAGTTCAGTGAAAGCACTACAATGATAAAAGATTTAAAAGTATTTCACCGTCCCCCTGATTTCCACCATCTTTCAGTAGGTGTGCTTGAGCAGAATCTTGGGAAAGCTGAGAAACCCAAATCGCACAAGAAGACAGTCCAGTACTGTGCAGGAGGACATACTTGTGGGATTTGGTCTGAATTTCTATTTAAGAGGTGGGGGCTGCTAAATGACTAGACCTATCTTCATGCAAGATCTGCTTTAAATGTTTCATTTGACTTTAAATTAATTGTTTGGACCAAGCTGGTCTGCAGTACGTTGTGCCTCTACTCCCTCTTATAACCATAATGAAGATGTTGCCTGATTGTAGCTAGATTACATATTTACAAGAAGTATAAACAGGAAATTTATCAAGACACCATGCCCCTATATAAACCCACCCATAAACAGTGTCCAGACACTGGGATTTTTAAGATGTCATGTATCAACTCAAACACAAAATATAGCTAAAAATATATTTAATAAATGTAAAATTACAATTCGTTCTAGTTGCAGTTTTAAGTGTATGAAGAAAAGACAGTTATTATTCGTATCTCACAGGACACAGAGGACTTCACATTTATAACTACTTGGGTTATATTGCCACTTTCAGGTGAATGGACACTGATAAAAAACACCCTAAAGCACCACCCAAGCATGACCCCTCTTGTGACGGAAATTTTTGAGAAATAGGGAAAGAGAAAAAAACCTCTCAAAGAACATTTGTTACTTGAAACTAAGTGAAAGGCAGTATGTAAATACGTTAGCTGATATGCATAATGGATTAGTGAGTTCTGGTGACCAGAGGGTCTGGAGGTATGGAGTCTTCTCTCAGCAGGGAATACAGAATTCACTGAAATTTGTATCAGGATGGTCAGACACCCTTGCACCGACCATGTGGACTGAGGTCTCTGCTGTTCCCAAGGTATGATATAGCAGACCTGTGCTAAAAGGTGGCAGACTGTTCAGAGCTTATGTCAGTGATGGACAGAGGAGCTCATGGCTGCAAGTTTCTTTAGGAGACTAGAAGCTGCATGGAGCTGCTGATACAGACTTTGCTTTCGGCACTCCTGGGTAGTTTGTGTAGTGTGTGGCTTTGTGGACACTGGGACTTTCCGCTCTTTCTGCAACTGCAATTTGTGTGGCCCTGAAACAGAGGCCTGGACAAACAGCCCTCTGTGGACCCCCGATGGGTTTTTTTTTTTTTGAAGGACCTATGCCCTATGGACATCCTTTTCCTGCCACTCTGCATGAACTTCCCTCTGCTGAGACTGTTGTTGACTGGTGAGTTTTTGCACCCGTGGTGTGTCTACTGCTGACGGCCCCTCATTGTGCCTGGATTGTAGTCCTGGACTCTGTACTAAGTGCCTGCTGTATCCAATTGCTGGCTTGTATCCTCGATGTAACATACCCTGCTGAATCCAAAAAACAGAGGTATACCGCTCAGGCAAACAATCCTGATCAATCCACAACAGGTGCAGGCTCTGGCTCGCCACCACACAGGAAGAAGGGTCAGCCGCACACCGGAGGATAGATGAATATAGTGTATATTTATTGATCCATAGGACACACAAAACACCAGGACATGAATACAGGACCTGTTAATGCTTTTTCACACGATCTCGTGCTTAATCATAACCTGGTGTTGTGTGTCCTATGGATCAATAACTAAATATACACTATATTCAGCTATCCTCTGGTGTGCGGCTGACCCTTCTTCCTGTTGCAACATACTCTGCTACCCAGAATCCCTGCTCTGTGTACTAAGAATCTAACCCCTTGTCTGCCTAGATCTCTACCCTGTGCTTGATCTAACCCCCTGTCTGTCTGGTGGATTTACCCTTGCTACGTTCTACCTGGTCTGCTTGGATCCCTGTCTTGTGTGCTGGACTTACCCCCTGCTACGCTATACGCAGGTCTGTGGATCTCTGCCCCGTGCGCTGTGTACATTCCCCTTGCTGTACTGTTCGGTGTACTGGTTCCCCATTTTTCTGCGCCATTCTACATGGACTATGTGTGATATTACATTGCTACCTGGTGGACTATTTTGGTGGTCTGGTGGACTACAGATTCTTGTTATCCCTACTGTGTTTGCACGTACCCCAATAAATGCTTGTATGTCGGGTTTTGTGTGATCTGCCTCTGTGTGCTCTCTCCCTGCTCACCTAGTTCGTGACACCTCCCAGCTTGGATAAGACTCAGTTTTTAGCTGATGTCCTCCTACCTACTAAAGTGGTTTCTTTCTTCCACATGAATTAGGGCATTGTGTTGCCATTTTTTTTTTTGTCCGCATTCTAAGGAGAAGGTGCTTCTTCACAAGGATGAGATCCTTTTTCAATCTCCTATTTCTAGTTTGATTTGTCAGTTTTTTTTCTCAAGCCTTTGGAATCAAGGGCAAAGTTACTCCTTTCCCAGTCAAGGCCCATTCCACCAGGCATGTTTAGTGCTTCCTGCATGACGTTTTTGTTGAAGTCTGAAGGCTGCTACCTGGTTTTCTACTCATGTGTTTACGAAGTTCCACTGCAAAGGTTTTCATTCCTCTGTGGATGCCAGCGGTGGCTTGAAGGTGGCTTTACTGTGGGGTTCCCTCTTGTTCTGTTTTTTGGTTTTGGGCATGTTGGCCTTGTTGCTGTGTTGCCACCCCTTCGTGTTCAGCGCTTTGAGACATCCGAAGTAGTCAGGAATATGAAGTCTTCTGTATCTTGTTATATACAACTAGGGTTTTTGGTTTACCTGCAACATCCTTTTCTTGGAGTACATCACAAGACACAGAGATCTTTTTTCCTTTTCTGTTACCCTATTGCTTGCTATAAAACTGAGGTATAGCTGAGCTGGGAGGGGTTATGCCTGGGTTGGGGGTTCCTGCCTTTTTTTTTTTGCCAGGGTCCATTCACCTGAAGATGGCAGTATAACACAAGTAGTTCTCTGTGCCCTTTAGCTATTGTATACTTGTCCCAGTTTTTTACATAACTGGTGGATACATTCTTATTTGCATATCAGAAATCCATTAGTAGTACAGGTAATTTTTTTTGTAACGGTCCCAGAATTTTTGAGAGTTGGTTGGAGAAGCTCCCTGAAATTCTCAGTGTATACAAGAAGCCAGTTTCAATTGAAATGCCAGTGGGTACCTATTAAAGCTTGTTTTGTGAGCCACATAAAAGGTTCAGTTTCTGTCACTTGTAAGGTCCCGGTTTGTTGCATGCTGCAGTATTAATTTTGGTGGAGAACATGGTAATAAGAGCGGGGTCTGTATGTAAGACACATGCCTTTATCAGACTCTTTTTACATTTAGATGTCATGCCTCCTCTTTCTTTTCCTTTTTGTCAGAAGTGTATACTGCATTGCCATTGAGGACATGCATTATACCATGTAGCCTAAGTTTTTGTTTTGTTTTTTTGTTTTTTTTTTTGTACATTTTTTTTTTTTTCTTACATATTTTTTATGCTTTCTAGTTTTTTCTAGTGGCTGACTTTAGCAGGTACTGTGTATCCTTGCCCCCTTGGAGATTGTCAATTGGAACTGTCCTTTCATTCCCTATGTTCCCCTGCATAACTTTACATCACATTTTTATTTCAAATTAAATCACTAGATGATATATTTTAATTCCATGGGTAATTATTTTCTTGATTTTCTACCAATATATTTTTACTGTGTGACACATTCATGTTGTTTAAGACACATTTTTTTACTGAACAATGCACACATGGAGCAACATAGTAAGGTCACGTTGAGCTTCTGTCCTAGACGGTTGTATTGGCACTGTTGCGCAGGCGATTCAACCCCTGTTCTGCGACTGATTGCGAATTCTGTTGGTGATGGCGGTAGACCTGACTTGCTGCCTGAGTTTAAGAACCCACAGTAGTCTCAAACAGTCACCGAATTCCCCAACAACTTGTAGCTGCAGTTAGTAAGAAAATCCATGGTGAGATTTGAAGAGGTAATTGTCATGCTGTCTCTAGATCAGACGCTGCCTGTCTAGAAAATCCATAACTGTTTGCAGAGATGACTGAAGACAAGAAAAACACTCCGTTCTTTCCATTGTATGCTTTCAGGCAGGATTTACTTGGTATGCTGGTAATTTTAGTTCTCCAAGAGGAATAATGTCTCAGATTGCTGAATTCATGTATCATTCTCATTTTATGTCCCTTTTCTGTCTTCCTCAGCTCCCTCAGAGCTCAGTTTTGATGAACTTCTGCCTACCTCAGAAAACTTAACTCATCCGACTGCCAGCCGACCAAAGATGACCGGCAAGAGGCTGCCTGGCCGCTTTAACGGTTCAAGTCCTGTAAGTATCGGAGGTTGAATTGTAGGGGGGAAAATTGCTACAAATGCCTGCATTTAATAGGCCAGCGTGTAATGGCCCCTTCCCAATCATAAGTTATTTTTGGTGGTGTGCGTACACTGAGCTAATCCTTTCTTTGGTAAATTTTTAAGAGGCATGGTCAACTTGACTCTGATCTCGTTATACTCACCTTAAGGTGATATTAAAGGTTAATTTTTTATTTATTTTTTTAATATCAAACAGGGCATACTTACCTGCTCTGTGCAATAGTTTTGCACAGAGCAACACTGATCCTCCTATTTTTGGGTCCCCTGCCATCTCTTTTGACTTTTCCCTTTTGAGTGCCCTGGGGCACTGGTACCTGCTCACTCCCAAGCCATCTCTGTGTTTCTGAGACAGGCAGAGAACTGCTCGGCCCTGCCCCTGTCCCTCCTCACTGGCTGTGATTGACAACAGTGTGAGTCATTGTAGAAGCAGAGACCCAGGAGAGCCACTGCTGCTCTCGTGCACATTGCTGGAGCGAGATCGGGCTCAGGTAAGTATTAGGGAGGCTGAGGGATAATCTGCGTACTGGAAGTTTTTTACCGTCATGCATAGGATTCTGGAAGGTAAAAACCCTTTAGCCTTTAAAACCACTTAAATAGTGATCCTTCACTGCTCCTTCCTCCTCTACAGCCCGTCAACAGTACTCAGAGCTTCCAGGTATGAAGGCGCATGTGACCACTTGACAGCGCTCAGATCTAACAGCCAATCTTCAGTGTACCAGTAAGGGAAACTCATGTCAGACAGCATCCAGCTTTTATTTGCTTCAGAAACATCCAAAAACAATGTCTGTGAACACCTTTCGCTTTGCCAGCCAAAAATGTAAAGTGGAAAACTGTTCTGTGGGTCAGACATATCGAAAGTTTACATTTTTTAGCAACCATGGGTGCTGAGTCCTCTGGACTAAGGAGTAGAGGGACCTTCTATCTTGTTCTCAGTTCAAAAACCTGCATCTCTAATGGTATGGGGGTGCATTACTGCATATGGAATGGGCAACATGCACATCTGGAAAGGCCCCATCAATGCTGAAAGATATAGCCAGGTTTTAGAGCAGCATATGCTCTCATCCAGACAATGTGTTTTTCATGGAAGGCCTTGCATATTTTTCAACAGGCCAATGCTACATGACGACAGCATGGCTTCATAGAAGAGTCTGGGTGCCTAATTGGCCTGCCTGCAGTACAGACCTTTCACCAATTGAAAATATTTAACGCATGTTGAAACAAAAAATATGATAAAGTAGATCCAGAACTGTTGAGCAGTTAAGAGTCCTATATCTGGCAAGAATGGGGCAACATTCTTCTTCCAAAACTCCAGCAACTGGTCCTCTCTTCAGACCTTTACAAAGCATTGTTAGATGAAGAGGGGCTGCTACACCGTGGTAAACATGGCCATGTCCCAACATTTTTTGAGAAGTGCTGCTGTCAGCAATAACAAAATTTAATTTTTTTTTTTTTTTCTTAAAGTGGTACCTTTTTTTCTCACTTTAAACATTTGATATGTTTTCTATTGTGAATAAAATATGGGTTTAGATTTTCAAGTCATTGCATTTTTTTTTTATGTAGATTTTGCTCAGCTTCCCAACTGTTTTTGGAATTGAAGTTGTTCGTTAATAGCACATGTGGGGCACGTTATTTTAAGTGGAACGGGGGTTGATATGAATGGTTCAGGGAGTTAGAGCTATGTGAATGCAGAACAGACATTTTAAACAGAGAGCATGGGAAACTAACGTAGGTAACTTCTGCTTCTTTTAGCAGGCTAAACCTGACACTGAGACACAGAAGGTACCTGTGCATCATGAGGAGGAGAATGAACGTGCCAAAACACCACCACCACTAGAAATAAAGAAGGTATTTCATGCTGGCTGGAATACATTTCACAACTTTCATGACACTATATTAAAAGTTCATAGAACTTTGATGAAAAGCCCTCAGTGATGTGAGATGCTTTTGGCTTAAATTGTCATAACATATATCAATTGCATGTAAGGTGAAAATATGTATTGGCAAAAAAAACATATGTGTTGTGGTTCCTGCATGCTTCATAGACTTGCTAGCTGTGCATGCTCACATAATACATATGTAAAAGGGGCGTCTTACCCCAGAGTTGAGGCTAAATTGAACATTTTCTGTTGCCCTGAAACTTTAATGCTGAACTCCAGGAAAACGGCTAAACACACAGCTAAAATGTATAGGGTCTGTTTTACTTGTCAAAGGGTTTGTATTTCTGTCCATTCAGTACTTTCATACTTCTGGCAAGGCAGGAGGCTTGATTTTTCACTGCTGCAATCAAACACTAACAGGTCTTGTTCCTCCCACAGTCTGTGACTGGACAGTGAAAGAACACTGATGAGGTCACGTCTGTCTCTTTGCTTTTTTCTTCTATCAGTATGCTCCTTGTTAGCACATGAAGCACCAAAGGCCACCTGATTGGCTCTTTGTGCTGCGGTTTCTTCTCCCTGTCTGAGTGCTGCTTTAGAGTGGATTGCAAGATGCTGATACCAGGACAAATTCAAGTACTTGCACTGCTTGCTGAAAAAAAATACACTAATGATTTATTCATAGAATTGCAATAATTTGTGTCATTTAAACCTCCCTAATATGGCATTGTTTGCAGCTGGCATAGCTCATGAAACGTGTGTCATATTCACTGCAGTTCAGCTTTCTCTCGCCTTGTATTATATATTTGTTGTCCTGTGTTGTGTGACCAGAACAATTTTAACTATGTGAGAATTATGAACTGCATGGTAACTATGCATCTTTTTTTTTATTGCAGCCATCAGTAACCACACACTCTACTTCCATATTTACACCCACGCCGACTGCGTCAAAACCCCAGCATCACCCCAATGAGCCCTGTTCTAGTGGATATCAAAACAAAGTTAGATTTAAATGATGGGAAGAAGAGCGAAGTGGAGGAATTAAGAGCCCAGCTGAGCGAGTTGTTAACTATTGTGGATGCACTTAGGAAAGAACATAGGTATGTCATCTTGTTTGTGCACGGATGGGAGGCAAAGAATCCTGGATAAATACAACATTTTAATAGAGGAGCCATTAATGTGTATGCAGAGAGCAGAGGTTTATGGCCATATAACACATTTTATTTCCGGATTCAAAAGTTTACTGCATATTACCAGCAAAGCTTTAAATATATTTAACCAGTTCATATCCTTTGTAACATGCTATTCAATAGCACAAAATCCACAGGAAGCTGAAAAAGCAGGTAACAGGCTAGAAATGAAGGAAAGCAGACCTGTAGGTTTACACCTGGTAAATCAAAGTGCACCTAATGTAAAGCTTTTTTTGTTTAATTTTTAATATAATAGGGGACTGGTAAAACCCCTATCGGGTTTAGTGGTTTTTTTGGGTGGGGGGGTTGCCCTTTGTATGCAACTGGGGGGATTTTCCTTCATTTTCTGTCTTGTAGATGCAAAAGGAAATGACGAGGTCTTTTCTAAGTGTGGGCGATTCTCTTAGTTAGTGGAACTAGTATTCCTATTAGAAAATGTCTCCTATTTCTGTTTTGGTGACAATTTAATAGTTTTGGGCTTCCCTCCTTTCAGTCCCTGTGTTGGTCACCAGGACAAATTTAAGAGAGTGGATTTCCCCAAGGAGGACACAGACAACAGTAGTGCAAATAGAGAAATAAATGAAAGTACAAGAGAAGCCTTGAAGCAAATGCACTTGTCATTGGACCCTGAAAATTCTCAGAAGTGTCCTAAACTGATCTCGAGTGCAAGATGAATGCACTTAAAAGAAAGCAGCTGCACTTGCCCATAGACCTAAGCCTTAACTTTTCTGTAGAGGCTATTGCAGGAATAAAGTGACTCTGTCATGAGAGAATCAGGATTGCAACCCTTTGTCACAGTCCTCAAAAAAGCATGCTGTGATTGAGTGTCAGAATTACTTATCTCTATAATTGCTATGGGTCTGCAACTCGGACAGCTGTGAGATCAAAGCATCTGAATGACAGCCAAGGAAATATCATTGTCAATGGAGAGTTTAAAATTGGAAGGCCTTGTTAATCTCTCATGACAGTGCCTATAAGACAGCGGTAGGTAAGTTCTGTTTTACCATGTTTGCTGATGTCGTGCTTGGAAAGCAAATGAACTGAGATCACTTATAGTTTGTTAAAGAGCTTTTGGTGAAAATAAGTTTTTGAGTTCCTAAAAGCCTGCCAAAGCCAAAATATACTATATTGCAACTCTTAGGCTTTTTAGATTTGGAGGCTGCATTTGTTTTTTGGGTTTTTGTTTGTTTTGGGGGTTTTTTAGGCTTTTTTTTTTTTTTTTTACCATTATTTTTTGTGATAATCCTGCAAGTAACTTGCTCTCTTTCCTAACTGTGCTCACATCTCCACTGTATCTGTGGTGGAGGGTCATGGTTGTCACCCAATTGCTCTCCTGATTTATAAAAAGGAAATCGCTGCCTTTGGGTAAAGTGGCTATAATATGCCAGCACTACAATTTGTGATACCAAACACTACAATGTTGTACAAACTATATCAAATCTGATGTATATGTGATCATAAACATATGAATAATATAAATTCCTCAACATACGTGTAATCCTGATAATCGCATATCCAATTAAAATGAAATATAAGATATGAAAAAATCTGACAAAAACCTAAATCACCAGCTCATCGTATCAATAAAAGTCCAAAAAATATCAAAATAAAAAGCATCAGTGTGTGCCACTCCTTGTAATAGTATTGATCAGGAAAGATGCCCAGCAGTCCACTACTTGTGATGGTTCTTTTCTCAGGAAAGACTGCCAACAGTCAGTGCTCCCCACAGCAAATACACAAGACTTAACGAATCAATGTGACCACTGTGTAATATATGGTCAGACAGCGCATGAACGGTTAAATCCTCCCAGTCTCTACTGCACCAACAAAGACATTTCCTGGGAAGTATTCACATGTTCCCCACAATTGTGGCATATAGAGAGAATATAAAACAACTAGCATAGAGTAGCATAGTTTAAAACCTCCAGTTTATTATTGGGCGGCACAGTGGCTAATTGGTTAGCACTTCTGCCTGGCAGTACTAGGGTCGCTGGTTCATATCCCAACCACAGCAACGCCTGCCTGGAGTTTGCATGTTCTCCCTGTGCCTGTGTGGTTTTCCTCTGGGTACTCCGGTTTCCTCCCACACTCCAAAGACATGCTGGTAGGTGAATTGGATCCTGTCTAAATTGGCCCTAGTATGTGTATGTATGAGTGTGAGTTAGGGACCTTAGGTTGTACACCCCTTGAGGGTTAGGGACTGATGTGAATGTACAATATATATATATATATATATATATATATATATATATATATATATATATGTGTAAAGCGTTGCATAAATTGATGGCGCTATAAAAGTACCTGAAATAAATAAAATAAATTATAAAACAAGTCCATACTCACATATTGAAATAGCAAGGTAAAGCAGTATCGCAACAACACGCATCTGAACGGCAACCTTTTCCATCCTGTCTACCAGCAAAGCGTGCGTGATGATCCAAGGCACCCTTTTGTGGGGGAGGGGGGGTTATGGTTGTCACCCAGGCTGCTGCCCTGATTTGGACTACAAAGAGGTCTTCCTACATTACATATGGAAGAGGCATTGATAATTCACAGACGTTGGCTTGTAAGGAGATGAGATTATTTTTGCTCTCAGTTTAGCTACAATAAGTGACAAAAATTCTTTTTTTTTTGGGCTGATGTTCCATGTATTTCCTGTACTTTCTGAAAATGTTGCAGCCTAAAAAGTTTAAACTAATTCAGCCACCACATCTAAGCTGCAATACTTTATATTTGTGTTCTCAGGTTTAGATATTTTTTAATGATGCTCATACTCCTATTTTTTTCTAATTCTTCAGGAAAGAAATAGATAAATTTAAAACATGACCTAGAAGAGGAAAAACTGCTACGATCCAGTTTAGAGGTAAGTGAAATAAATGAAGACAGAACTGCTCATCGAGCTTAAAGTGAATCTGCATTAATATCCTTGCTGCTAAACCACCAGAACACATGTTTAACAGCCATGAGACGTGCCTACATGTGAACCCCAAAACTTAGGGTGTTCTGGTATACAAAGACCTTAGGTATTCAAGAAAAGCTCTGTCCCATCTTTGAATCTGTTCTGTGCCTGATCGCTAATACATGTAGCATTCTTTCTGCAGTTCTGTAATTTCTTCTCATTGTGCTTTTCACTCATACGCTTATAATAAGTTTGAAAACCTTGCTGGATTAGTCAACTCGTGATAAGTGTTGGAATTGTAACTGTTTTTGGAAATGATGCAGCATTGCAGAATTCTATATATAAAAACGTACTGATTAGCACAGCAGCAACATGTTGCATTCATTGTTGGGCTCTGCAACTGTATCTACAGACTGAAGATGGCAGTGTGCCTCTGTTTAATTACCTGATAGGATCTGTGGTTTAAAAAAAAAAATACATTTTAAATATCAAATGTATTTTCTTTATCACTCATTAAAGGCGTTCTATAGTCAGAGCATATGCGCATACATTTTCATTTTATACCATTGAGCATTGTAATTGCAATACAAACAGTTATGTTTGACAGTTCAGTATAAGTTTACTTGAAAAATCTCCGTTAATGGTGTGAGTGCTGCCGCCTTTCTCGAACATCCTGGATTTCCTGCATTCTTTGCTGCTTCTGTGGTCATTCCTTTGGTTTATGTCCAATTTCTAAGGACTACATATCCGATGGTACTTTGCTGCTTGCAGGCAGTGATGATGTGTGTTTCCTCCACTGACTGTGCCCTTTGTATGCTGTTTAAAATGTGTGACACTATCATTTGTCCTATCTCCTTCATCTCAAGCCTTCACCAAGGTTTTGACCACTGTTTCTAGTCTTGCTACACTCCCAGGTTATTCCCATTGTAGGACAACTAGACAACCTTCTATTAAGAAAGTGGTCAGCTCAAACTTTGACCATCAATGTAATGCAGACAGTCCTGACCCTAAAAGGTTTGCTTGGATTGTAAACCTTAGAAATTAGCCCTGGAACCAGAAAATCACAGAGTCTCAGGACCTGGTTTTAGACATGGCCCAAGGCAAAGTTTTTCCCCAAGAAGTAATTCTGACTCTCAGACTCTACAGTCCAGGAGACATTCGACTTTGTGATTGATGGTAGTCTCCTTCAGTCAATCCCAATGAATGTTAGAAAGGACTCTATCCTGGGCAGAACACCATGTTCCAGCCTTGTCTGCCATTCACATTTTAGACCTGGACAATTGTCAGTCTGCCGAAGTGACTGGACCTAGGGGAGTGGTCCCTACACATGCAGATGTTTCAGGACCTGTGTCACAGGTGGGGGACACCAGATGTTGACCTCCTGGTTTCAGTTTCCAGGTCCAACATAGAGCTGTGCAGATTTGTCTGTAGATATGGGGATCCTCTGGCAGAAACGGTGGATGCTCTTGTGACTCACTGTGGGATCAGTACGAATCTTCGTCTTTCCTTCTCTAAAACGTTTTACCTTGTCTGCTCTGTGGGATTGAGAAGAAATGTTTCAGTGTTCTCTTAATGGTCATAGGTGGATGCAGTACTCAAACATGATGAAACTTCTGCCAGGATCAGCCACATCTCACATCTCAAGGTCTGGTTTGCCACCGTGCTTCACCTTCACTGGCTTTAATGGCATGAATGCTGAAACCCACGTCTTGAGTGCCAAATTCTCTACACATAGGTTTACTTTGCCTGGTGTGAGGAAAGAAAGTTTCACCCCAGAAAATATTCGTTGGGACGAATCCTAACTTTTTCTTTGCAATCTGGTTTAGGACAACATTTTGTCCTTTTTTCTGTGGTGTCTGGGTTTACCACTCAGCCACTGCTGAATGACACAAAGAAAGACTGCCTTTTTTTTTTTTTCTTTTCTTTTTTACTTCTCATCAGCCGACTAACTCAGATCATCATGTATAAGCATATGGTTTTAAGGACAAGTTGCCACCTTACCGTAAAATCCCACCCATCTGCGTTTGTGATCTATTAAGTACTGCTTTTGTACAAAACTGAAGCATGCTGCAATCGGCAGGTGTTTATAACTGGTTGGCGAACATCTATTTATTTCTTTTGCTTGCCAGTGTCCTAATCCTGTAGCTGGCAGCATAACCCAAATGTTTAATTAACTCCAAAAAAAATGTATGGCAAGTACAAAAATCTTTAGTCACAAGGAGGGTAAACAGGCTTCAATAAAGCTGGCTTGAAGTTGAGCAAAAGCTTCAAAAATGGTTTGCAAAAGCTTGTCTGTACACACAGCTAATGACAGCTCTTTCCTTTAAAATGTTTGTGCTTTTGCGTTGTGGACCCTGCATTGTGACACTCGTGGCAATGTTCCCTGAATAACTTTTTTTCTTTTTTCTTTTTTTTCTTTTTCCTTTCTCCATCAGAGCGAGATCGAGAAGTTAAAGAAAGCTGTACAACTGACATGAGATGGACTTCCTCTTGCATCTCGGCATCCTCTTCACATTTTCAATCTGTTCCACCTATGTAAACAGAAGGATAAACATGATACAGAATTTTATTATTTGTTCACAATAAGAGACAGCTGTGGTTTCCTTTGTTTCTGCTCTCTGCCAATACAATTTGAGGCCTTACTTCTTATGAGCTGGAGCGGCAAGCCTTTTTTTTTTTTTTGTTTGTTTGTTTTAAACTGGGTTTGCTTGAAATACTACTGAACTTCTGTGTAAAGAGAGGGAATTATGTATCAGACTTTTATTAAATACTTCTATTGTAATTTTTTAAATGTTTATGCTATAAATATGGTGATATATATATATCTATAAATATCTTTTCAAATAATCTGTAATATAGTCTATCAGGGGTCCAAACGAATAGCCTTAGCTTTATCGCGAGCTGTTATTTTTCCTATTCTTGGAAAGGGAAATTGACTTTTTTTTGTATATTTTAGATAAAATTTACAAATAATTCCCCCGGTTGTGCCTGTGCACAGCTGAGTATTAATAACGAGCTGTGTATAAAATTTCTATCAATATAGCAAGATGTTAAAAATCTCTGTTGAAAGCATCTCATATATATGCATATTTAGCTCTTTTTGTTTTTTTTTCTTTTATATGTATATGGAAATCGAGTCACTTGCACTAGGATTTAAACAAGGGATTGTGTTAAAAAGTGAGTCCAACAAGAATCTGATTATTCCGTTTTCAGTGGACTGAGGTGGGTTTGACTGCCAGTTGGCTTGTTAAAACACTCCATGCCTCCGGTGTCTATGTCCAAAAACAAATCCAAACTTCACCCTCCTGCCACACACTTGAAATACCTTGCTTGATAATCGATGTCACCTATTTTTCTGATCGGCTCTTCATCTGTTTCTTCATAGTGGCAAGCAGAAATCTGGTAGCATCTCTGCTTGGCGTTAAATTAAAGCGACTCTGTCACCTTAAACGAAAAAAAATAGGGAAAAAAACCTTCCATAAAACAGAGTGAAGACTCAAGGAAAAGACGGCTGGACATTCTTTTAAGAGCTAGAGACTGCTGAGGAAACTTCACTTTTGGCCCTTCTGGAAGTTGAAGCTGTCTATTTCCGTTGCCTCACGATGTGGTCCAGTCTGCCACCTTCTATGTCATGTCTATATCCTATAGTGGCATAGAGGCCAGCAAAAGGAACCACAGCACTTAGTGACTGACCAGACAGCCAGGACACCTGGAAATGTCAGATGTGGAGGTTCTTCAGGCGCCCATAAATCTTTTCAAAGAGTAAAGGTTCCAGAAAAAAAGTTCTAGGAATAGATAGGACAGGAGGGCATAAACCTTCTTCTATTGCAGGAAACATTTTATGGATTTTTGTTTTTTGTATTTTTTTTAAGGCAACCTTTAAAATGTTGATCTCCTCCTGGTAGCCTGTGTTTTGCTGATCTTCTGTACTTTGAATCACAAACCCTAAGAACGAATATTGCATCTAGAGAAGTAAGGTTAACTGATTTGCCAACTGTCATTGACACAGCAGAGGTTCAGCATGACAGCCAAACGGCTGTCATGAGCCATAACAGTGTACATATTAGTTCAGTAGCCAGGTTTCCTTTTATATATCAGGGCTGTTGTGGAGCAGGCATAGGCAAATCTTGGACATCAGGGAGTCAGAACGTCCTTGCTAGGGTCATGGACAATTTAACAAACATGGTGGAAGATTGAACCAACCTGCTTGTGAGTGGGGGCACAACATTTAATGCAGTAAATTGGGAGCATTTGCACTTACACTGGATTCGCCACTTTTAAAATCATTCCATATATTCATTACTGATATGACTTTCTCCGTTTTGTATATCGCATGAAAGCTGCCCCTCTAACCCCAGGCTTCTCAGCCTGACGTCTAGAAAGACTGTTCAGCTCTATGCAATATTTTTTTTACCTGTGTATATTCCCAGAAATAAAAGCTATGTATGAATATAGGTAAATTTACCCCATGCCTTTTAAGATACTTTTTATTGCTATCCGTGCAGCCAGGTTGCATTTGTTTATTTCAGATTATGCTCCTTTGTTTAAATTAGCTGTGATTATATAAAACGATATACCAGTTTTTCATGTATGTTTAATATTCTGTAAGATTCTATTTTCATGTAACAGTGTTTGAGTAAGGGCTCATATTTATGGGAGTCATTAGATACAGTCAGCACTGGCCTAACAGGAATAGGCGCTTCTTTTGCGATTGAACATAGACCACTTGTGTATTGTCATAAAATCCACTGACCATCCATGTGTGTCACCACCTCCCAGTGAGAACAATCAAAATGCAGTTTATTTCAAGATTTCCGTGGCTAACAAATCTGAGTTATACATACTTAACGTTTGTTCCTTGAAAGGCTGTTTCCCTGCTAGAAAAACTTTCACTTTTTGGTAATTGCCAGAGAGCTGAATCTGCCTTTGGAAACTTCCAGCTCTGGTGGTGATATATCTGTACAGGAGATTTCCTGTATTTAAGGTTATGAAAGCCTAACTGAGCTTTCAGTTTAAATTGGCTAAATAAAATTAGAGCGCGTCAAAGCAAAATGTGTTACAAGAGTCCTACGATTCATTTTCTTTAGTAAGCACCCACAGCCTTGGTAGAAAAGCCTGTCTTCTACCAGCATGTCTTGCTGTATCCAAGCAGAGTCCGTTAAAGCTCCTTGTTACCAAACTGCCTGCTGATTGGAGAGCTGTAGCTCTGGCTAAGGGGGGGGGGGGGGGGGGGGGGGGGTGAGTTCCGCTCTCTGTAGAGACACTGCTGCTTCCACACAGAGGAGGGTTCTTCTCTGCAATTTCCGTTGAACTTTAAATTTAAAAAAAAAAAATGTTCATGAAGTATGCAGTGGTAAGGAGATATTGGTGAATATTGAGGCATGGCCACTGTACAAAATTAGAAATGGATTGTTGAGTCACCCAAAAAAACTATAGGCAAAACTTTTTTTTTTTTCTCCCATTTTAGATAAAAATAAATGAGGGTTGAAACCCCTGTCAGTTTATTTTTGGCCATCTGTGTCCCATTGGGGAGATTTCCTTTCACTTCCTGTGCCATAGCCAAAACAAAAAGTGAGTGGAAATACCTGCAGATTAAGGGAGTTCCCTGGGGACCCCAAAGTCACCAGAACTGATGTCCCCATAGGAAAGTTTTCCCTTTATTACTTTTCTGGGGACAACCCAAAATTTGGGTTTTTCTTCTCCTTTCACTTTCGATAATGGTAAACAGGACAAATGGGGGAATCTCCCTAATGGGGCACAGACAGCATTGAAAACCTGACAGGTATTATAACTTCTCTCCACTGTGTCTGAAACAAAAAAAAAACAAAATATTTTTAAATATAGATTTTGAATGAAATTTACCTTTGCACACCTACACTACCACGCTTTGGAAACAGCTATTCAGTTTTTCTGTGTTCAGGATTAGGGCTCAGGCTTCTGATGGGCCAGTGCACCTAGATAACCACTACAGTTGATTTTGGGTGGCCGCTGCTGGGTCAGTACTCATTTTGGATGCTTCTTTAAAGTGTTCCTTGTACTGCTTGCAAGGTCCCCTTTTTAAGTACTCCTGTCCCTTCCTCTTGCTATAAGCTAAGATAATCATAGAGGCATACACTAGTAAGGGAAAAAGATGTACTTCCTTTTCTTTTGGCTTCCATGGTGCAGGGAATGACATAATCCTCCTGCTGATAACTTTCCGAGGAATAGTGAGAACTCCAAATCTCTTGAAAAGATGCTGCAGCACAATACTGGAAGTATATTCTCAGCCAAATTTGGAGTTCTAAATGACCCGGATCTCACAGGACGAAGGATAACATTGCCTTGCCTAGGTGCTGTGATCAGAGGCTGGGGGGAAAGGTAAGTATACTATGTAATGTTTTTTTTTCTACAGGTTTTAAAGTTTATGCAGTGTTTCCGAAAGGGGCAGAGGGGGCACTTGGGAACCAGACCTTGCATTTTATATGGAAGGTCCATTTTAAAATGGGAGTGTTGATAATTGCAGTTTTTATATCATTGGTCTGTGCTTGCATATGTGCCATTTATGCTGCTAGGGAATGCAACCCCACCCAAAGAGATGCTTGCATCCATTGATTTTTATTAGTGTCCCAAATACTGTGGGTTGCCTCATTTATTCTGAGTTCACAAGAGTGATATTCTCTTAAAGACAAATTACACAAGCAGTTTTCACCTGAGATCAAACCTGGACTGTAAAACAAGGAATTATTTGCAATTGTAACTGGAAAATGAGTGAAATCTATTGACCATACATGTAAATTACTGAGTTCTGTTAATCCTTCATTGTTCATGACTGCCCGTTTTGAGTCTCGGATACTTGAACTGTTCATTGGATCATATGTGGGGTGTTTAGAAGTAGTGTGACTTTGCAGTGACTTGGTCATAAGCAACTGATCTTCAGCATTTCCCTTTTTTCATCACCTCCGTTTAATTTGCTTAAATGCAACTTTGTGAAAAATCCATGTGCCTTCAGCCCAGTGGGATTCCTAACAATAGGGATAGTCGTATGCATCAACAATATTCTGAAATTGCTTTTTTCCTTTTGCTTTAAAAGATTAGTTCACCCTTTATTACATGTTACACCCGTATTCAGGGTCTAACATGTTATGAAAGGACCGGCTCCCTCACAGCGCTGTGGGAGTTCATTGATTCTTCCTGTCAGCGTGTATCGTCTTTCCTGTATGGGGGATGTACAGCAGATATACTGACAGGTCTGCAGGAAACCTGCATGGCACCAACCATATGATCGCTGGTGCAATGCTTTACAGGTTCCTTCAGCAAAAAATAATAAATGCACATTTTTTTTTAACCTGCAAAAAAAGTGTATTTATTATTTTTTGTGAACTTATCCTTTAAATGAGGTTTATTACCCAAACAATCGGCAGTTGGTGACTGAGTGATCTCACACAGCACTACAGTTGTCCTTTTTTTTTTTTTTTTTTTTTTTTTTGCGATCAGTCAT